ATGAAACATCTGCAAGAAAACCATCAAGCTCAGAGTCCATGGAGATTCTCAAGCATCCAGGTCAAGGTTGTCCCAAAGGTGCTTTTTTCAATTAGTGACCAAGAGACATATACGCTTTATCTATTTCTATAGTGTCTGGATGCATGGAAACTACACCTCCCAAATTGCCAACTAGCATGAGGGCTTATGCTGAAAAATCTGCAAAAGGACATTTGATATGCTATTTCTGTTTTTCCAATCCTTTCTGTAGAAGCGCAAGGATGACACGCAAATTCGTGAAGCGTTCCATATTTTAGGTGGCGTGCATAAGCGCACCAACGTGCCTACCGTCCCTGTCCTATTGTTTCTCTTATTCTTCTTTTATTTTTCTTATATGTACCCATTTCATGTATTCACAACTATGTATACACTTATACTTATTATCTTGTAAACAATTGGCAAATCAAATAAATAAATAAATAAATAAGCTGGGAGACCATTCTTCCCCCTCCAAAGTGGGAAAAGCTGAATGTCCCTGCCACCATATATGGAGCAAGCTAACATTACTCCACAATAATGGAGAGTTGCAATCACATGGTTAAAAAAAACCACACCTTCTTCTTTTCCTTCACACATGAATGGGGTCTGTAAATTAAATTTCTGGTTTTTCTTTGAAGACGTTTCACCTCTCACCCAGAGCTGAAGAAGCTTCTTGGATGAGAAGCGAAACTTCTTCAAAGAAAACCCAGAAAGTCAAATTGCCTCTTGAAAAAAAGCACCTTTGGGACAATCAAGCTCAGACAGCACTAAGGACCCCCTCAATGCAATCTATCTCTGAGCAACCAATACATTTTTGTTCTGTTAGCCGCTGCAAGGAGCTGGACCTTTGGCCTTGCTGCTGCTGTACTTAGCCTAGATAAGTGCAAAAATCAAGATAAGATTCCCTTTCCTTCTCTCTCTAAGAAAAAAAACAAACACGGGACCAACCTGACGAATTCCCGGAAGAAGCCTACAGAGCCATAGCGGGGGTCCGCTACAGGCTGCTGAGCCGATCCCGCCTTCTCCTTGCTTCCTTAGCAACCGGCGCTTTCGAGGACGCCTTGAAACAGTTCGAGGACAACGGATGGCGATAATGGCCAATTAACTGCCGGGAAAACTCGCAACGCCCTCAATCCAATCCTGAAAACTCTTCAGAGTTTTTGGCCCAGGCGGCCACCATCCTCTGGGGGGCGTGGTCTTCGCTTTTCCCTTTTTGTCTTTCCACACTTCCGCCCTTCCACAGAGGCACGTGATTCCACCATGGGTTGGGAAGAAATCTCTGTGCACGGATACGAGGAGTTCGTTCGGGTCGCCCGCGAACAGCAACAGCAAGGCCAAGTATTTGCGTATTTTAGCGGTGACAAGGATCCAGCCAGCGGTACTAGTTGGTGCCCAGATTGTGTTAAGGGTAAGCCGTCTCTATCATTTCTAAGTAAGGCTTTCTCCACCGCCTTTTCCCTGCCATCAGATGCCGTAGATGTAAGCTTTGAAGGGCTTTGACCAACAAGGTCTTCCTTAGGTTTAATTTCTAATTTATTCTGTAAAAGGTTGTTTGTGAACTGCCTTAAAAGGTTACTTGAGAAGTTGTCTGGTATCTTTTGAGGCATTTAAAATGCGAAGTCTATTAGTCCATGCACATATACAGGCATCACTCTGTTATATGAACTAGCATGAATGGGAAACCACAGAACAAGATTTAAGAGTGGGAAGGGACCTTGGAGGTCTTCTAGTCCAATCCCCTGCTCAGGCAGGAAACTATACCATTCCAAACAAGTGGTTGTCCAATCTCTTAAAAACTTCCAGTGTTGGATGTTCCAGTTCAATGGAGGTTCTAGTGAAACTGGGAGAGGGTACTACAAGTTGGAGAGGCGGGCATGGAGATGAAAGTTGCAGTATAAGACCTATTTATTACTAGTGTTTCTTCTGTAAAGGTCTAATTGGAAACCTTTTTTTAAAAATCCTAGCTGAACCCATTGTACGAGCTGAACTCCCAAACCTGCCAGATGGATCTATATTCATTTACTGCCAAGTAGGACCCAGAGACTAGTAAGTAAGACATTTTGAGAAAGGTGGTAGAGTTACTTTGGTTCAGCCAACCAAATAAGTATTGCTTATATGGTTCATAGAAGCAATAGTAACATTTAGTCTGTTGTCAGGTTGTATGAGGATCAATGTAGTAAAGATATTTAAAAATCTCCATGTGCAAAATGTCCTCAACAAAAAACTTAAAAAGGAACTTCTAAGTTGCAGAAATACTGGCTTTAGTTTAAGTGCAATTTGACTACTTAGATCAGATCCTCTGCAATCATTTCCTGCTTATACTTTGTTTTCTGCCAGATCTGCTCTTATCAGCTGAACTTTACCATTTTGAACTCTGAAATTTGATTATTTATATAGCTTCCCATCTCACTTTTACATGATTCTAGGTAGTTTACAATAAAATGGGTTGTATCTGCCAAGTATTATATAAATTTCTAGGTCTTTCCACTCACTTGGCCAGCACACAAAATTTAGAAATGGAATGAGTATTTAAAAACCAATTGTAAACAGGTACTCCAACCAAGAAGACACTATATAAGATAGCACTACTTAAAAGATGGTATCTGAGCATGCCTATTCTGTTGCATTTGAATTTTACAGAAAGTTGGAAAAAGGCACTCCCTAAAATAACCAGGCCCTATGCCATGTAGAGCTTTGTAGCTGATGATCAGCATCTGGAAGTGTGATGCTGATACATACCCATAGATTTTATACAGCTGCACTCTGAACCAGCTGTTATTCTTTAATTGTTTGAATCTAAGACTGCAACTGTACAACTGACTGCAGTTTATTTTCGTATGATTTCCACACATAGCAGTCATCTTCTGTATTTGCAAAATCTTGCTTTTCCCCACCTAAAAGGTTTTTTTTTCTGAAACACAGCAATGTTTGAAAAGATGATTGAGTGCATTGTACTCATCTGTCTGGATCACATCACATTAAGGGTAATTTACTTTTGCCAAAAGTTTGCGTTTCTCAGTACTCTGTCAAATATGACAGCTTCCATTTTGTGTGAGTTTTTCCACACAAAATATTAACAAAAATGGTTTTCTTTCAATATTCAAGTATACTGTAAGATATAAAATCATTTTATTTTCTCCACAGCTGGAAAAATCCCAATAATGAATTCAAGAAGAATCTTAAGTTAACTGGTGTGCCTACACTTCTCAAATATAGAACTGTAAGTATATACATTTTCTAATTAATTTGGAAAGAGTCAGTGTGGTTAAAAGCCTGTAGTACTTAGCAGAATTGCCAAATTTCTTCTCTATTCTTAAATCCTGGGTTTACTGCTCTCAACTAAAAATGCCAAACCTATAAAGAAATTATATTTGCAAAAAAAATGATCTAATCCTCTATAAATCTCACAAGCGTCCAAAGAGTTATTTTCTGAACAAAGTCAGGCCATTGGTATCTTAATGGATAAACTATTTCTCATCTCTGGTAATTGAGTAATTTAGCAGATATAATTTTCTTCTAGAAGTCCGGCTGATAGCCAAAAAGGGATTTTGCGAATATTAGAAATATTAGAAATATTAGAATATTAGAATATTAGAAAAACTAGAAAGAGTAGTTGGGAAAATGTATCCAAAAATAAGCCATGTTACTTAGCAATATAACAACAGTATATAGAAGGAAATATTTCTACAAAGGACTTGGATCTCCTATTATACTTGGAAAAACAGTAACATATCCTAATTTTTGTTTCAGCCTCAGAAGCTGGTGGAAGAAGATTGCTTTAAATCTAACCTTGTGCGAATGCTGTTTACAGAGGACTAAGTAATTGAAGCTATTATCAGCAGAGGAAATGCTTTTAGATTAAATCATGTCAAACTGGGAGTGAATAAAACACTAATCTATAAGCCCATAAATTTAAATAAAATCACTGTAAAACTGGACTGTATATCAATTGAAACTGCGACTAGTTCATATGAACCCATTTGCTGGAGACTGGGTATCTACTCAAGATTAGATTGGATTCCTTTAGTTTCACTGTCTAAGGCAAATATATTTTAGAAAGAATTCAGTCTTCTGGAGTAATTTGCTATTTTAAACATTTTAAATGAACATCCACTGCAATAAAGACTGTTGAATGTCTTTCAAAGAGTAAATTATATAACTTCATTTCATAGAATAGTTTATATTAACTATTCTAAGTAATGAAGCTATATATTATATTTAGTGAACTTCCAAACTTAGGTAATACCAGGACAACGATGAGAAAGTATAATTGTTCTACACATTTACAATGATCAAGAAAATGACTTAGAAAAAGGTTTTTCTGAGGACTAGAATGCTGATGTAACTAGTTGTAAGAAAATAACTGCTATTTGCTTAATAGACATAATAAAGCAGACTTTAAACACAAAAGAAAATCACTGAAATTAACAAATGGAATTACTAAAGTGACTACCAATAGTTTGGATGTAAAATATCTATCTTTAAATTATCACTATCAGGTCTAATAGTTGCCATTTGCCAACTGTTACTGGCTTATTTCACCAAAGTCTCCTTTGAGTTAGGTTCAGGAAATCTTCTAAAATATATTTTCTTATCAATCTACAATTCAAGGATTAAAAGCCAAGAAATTCTCCACTGCATGCTACATACCTATTTTAATTGTAGAGTTGGAAGAGATTACAAGGATCATCTAGTCCAACCCTCTAAAGCAGGGCTGTCAAACTCCCAGCCCACAGGCTGGATGCATCACACCCAGTTTAGTGAAGGGGAAAGTCCCAATATGTCACGTGATGACGTGAGTTTGACACAGCTGCTCTAAAGTGTATAGGACAGCTATTTAAACTATCCATGAAAGGTGGCTGCCCAGTAAACCTCAAGTCGCCTCGCTAAGAGTGATGCTGTAAACTATAGTTAACAAGTTTTTCCACCTTTTGCAATTATTGCTGATGCTTTACACCCAAATCACAGGATCTAAGATAACAAAGCTAATTTCTATGGATTAAGAGAGAGCCAGAATCCCATTTACTAACACCCACAAATTAGCATACAACAAAAATGTTTAGCCACTTTTACTTCACAGTAAATGTTCCAAAATACTCTTCTGCTATACAGTATCAGGAAATACATCTACACCTTTAAATAAGGATATGAGAAGAATCTCTTACATCTTGAAGAAATCATTTGTTTAGTCTGTGGCAAATCGGAAATTCCAAACTGAAACTGTTGAAACATCCACAATGTTTTACTAACACCATGACATTTCAGATAACAGTGTCGCAGATTAAATCCACAGATGCCTTCTGCCCTTGCAAGGAGTTTTTGTAGCGTCTAATGGCTCACTTGACAGAAGTGCTGTTCTGCTGTTGCTGCTGCTGCTGTTCTGCAAGGGCCTGCTGAAGGCGCATCCGCTTGCGGGAATAGTGTTGCCAGTGGAGTATCTGTTGCTCATCAATGAATTTTGCACACTGTGCATTGACCAGTTCCTTACGAAAATGTTCATATTGGAGCAGTTCTAACATATGCAGGCATTGGGGATACCTTCATAATACAAGAATATATTATAAGATACTTTTTAATGCTTTTCCTAAGTCACTAGTACTCTTGAAAACAAATAAGGAATTCTACAAGTAGAAAGGAATTGAAAAATATTTTAGTCACAATTTGAAGCAAATTGCCAGTTTTCTAGTATATTTAGTAAACAAACATGCATGTTAATACTATTTTTCAATTACATAAAAGAAGAGGGGACTAAAGTGTTTCATTAAAATACAGTTTTATGCTATGCGTTATGAACTCCAGATATTTTTAATACAAAAGGGATACCATGATAATTCTTACTTTAGGTATTTGGCATACTCTGGTTCCTTCCAATAGAGCAAGTATTTTAAATAATTTACAAATGCTTTGTCTTTGAAGTATCCTCTCTGGGCAAGAACTAAAAGATACAAAAATAAATTTACTTAAAATAGATTTTCTCTGCATAACCTCACAGCAATCTGTAAGGAGATTGTTAATCTCCAATGAAGGCACACAATATAAAATTACAAAACAGTACAGCGAGTCCTCACCAAACGTCCAGCTTTCTGATTTAAAAAATTCTAATATTAACCTTTAATTTTGTTGATTCATTCTTTTTCATTTGTAATCTACCATACAGATTTTAGCCAACTCAAACAAGGTTCAATGAGCCACGATCTTTTGACATTGGCTTTAAAATATTTTGCCTATGAATTTGGGTCTATTTAAGAATACACATTCATATATTTCTGATTAGTTTCTACATACTTTACTGTTTTCCATTTTGTACATTTTGTATTGTAATTTCCTGTCTAGATTTCATGATGCCTGGTTGAAGAAGTCAATAAAGAGATCTTGATCTATATTATATTTTAGATACTTACAATTGAGGTAATTAGGGTTTGCCAGACATTGCACAAATTCCAGCTCTAGTTGGAAACGAAGTCTATTTCCAGTATCATCTGGGATAAAGATAAAGGAGTGTGGAATTATACAATATATATTGCATGCATTAATTACCTGGTGATGAGTAGTTTTTATACTACTTAAGAGAAAAACTTGAAAAAATGGGATTCTTAAGGTTTAACCTGTATCAGTCTCAGAAAATACACAATATCTCTTGATAGCAACATTTGAAAATCCTAGTCAACATGTAAGTCAATCTGAATTATTCATATCAGATATTGCTTATACTGTTGAATAAACTCAAAATAAATGAAAGGTATATACCATAAAACCAGCATGGAAAATTATTATAATGGAAGCTCCTCAGTAATCTGATAAAAACAATGCTGTTTTCCTTTAGCTATTTACTGTATAAAGTCACTTATTTAACTTCAGACTACATATCGTAAGATAGGCTTTAGTCAAGAAATTTTGCAATCTATACTTCAATTAATCAATCAATCAGAATACAGCTGGAAGGGAACTTGGAGGTCTTCTAATCCAAGCCCCTGCTCAAGCAGGAGACCCTATACCAGGGGTGTCAAACTTGCAGCCCGCAGGCCAATGTGTCACATGCAGGCCATGCCCACCCCGTTTAACAAAGGGGGAAAGGTCACGATACATCATGTGATGTGACGCTGCAAGTTTGACACCCCTGCCCTATATCATTTCAGACAAATGACTGTCCAGTCTCTTGTTAAAAACCTCCAGTGACGAAGCACCCCCAACAACTGAAGGCAAGCTGTTCCACTCTTAATTGTCCTCACAAGTTTCTCCTCAATTCCATGTTGCTTCTCTCCTTGATTGGTTTCCCTCCATTGTTTCTTTCCTGCCTTCTGGTGCTTTCAAAAATAGACCCTCTCCTTTGTGTGGCAGCCTCTCAAATACTACAATACTGCTATCATGTCCCCCCTAGTCCTTCTTTTCTCTAGTCTAGCCAAACCCAAATCCTGCAACTATTCTTCATGTTTTAGTCTTCAGGCCTTTAATCATATTAGTCTGCACTTTTTCCAAAGTCCCAACATCTCTTTTGTAATGTGGTGACCAAAACTGGATGCAGTATTCCAGCTGTGGTCTTACAAAGGCTTTATAAAACAGTACTAATAGTTCACATGATTTTGATTCTATTTTGTTTATACAACCAAGGATTGTATTATTTCCAAAACACTAGTGAGATGTGTGGGATAAATTCTAGACTAGAGGAAGTAGTACCAGTCACTTGGCATGTCTTTAAGGTCTGTGAACAGCCAAGAAACTGCTTTACAGATGATGTGCAAACTTTCTATATATCTGTTTTGATCTTTCAAAATCTGGAACTACAACATACATAGGAATGATGAGTTGCTAGGAAGCAACAGATGTGGCGGCTCTCTGATGGGAGGGTGGCTGCTCTCATGTAATTCACAAAGGCAAGAGTTCTCTCCCAGCGCCTGCAACTTCTGGGGGTATTTTAGTGCCAATTCCTCCTCCTTCAAGGACACGCCTATTTACTTTTACGATCGCTCAAGCAAGAGGCTATTCGGAATCAAGAGCAAGGAAGCCGCCATGCTTTTTACGTTGGTTTCATTTACTTATCTGTACAGAGGAACTTATACGATGGGAGTGACTTTTGAATTAATATAAATTATATAAAAGGTATAATTATTTGTTTAGAGGGCTATGAAAAAGAGAAAGACAGCCCCACCTCCCCGTCCCGTTATTTCCTCGGACCCGCGTCCACTCACCGCCCTCCATGGTAGCGGAAACAATACTCCGACCGCAACTGCACCATTCACCAAGATGGCGGCGGCGGCTTTTTTAAGCCCTCCCAACGCATCTCAGTGCATTCTGGGAAATTCCCAGAGGCGGTTAGGACGCGTTGCCGTGGCAACAGTGATGTCAAAGCTGATATCTAGCCTCATGAGGGCATTTTTTTTAAAAAAAAATCCAGCCTTTTTCTCTATTTAAGCAATGGTCACATTTGCTAGATAAAGAAGCATTTTATGAAAGTATTCCCACTGGCTCTTCACATATATTTCTGTTGTACCATAAGTATTCCCAAGGCAACCTCATGATAGAATAAAATGCTTCTAACCACTCCCAAATCATGGTTCTTGGATATATTAAGTCTATTCCTGTGCTAAGGCTAAGCCATAATATAGGTTATTTAGTTTTAGTTTAGCATGTTGGATGCTTCTCAGTAGTGATTTAACATTTTGTAGTTATGGAAATTAATTTATAATTCTGTATAATATATGAGCCTGATCAGTAATTCAATCTCTGGCATCCACATTTTTTTTAAAAATGCAGAAATTGGGAACTTGTTATTCTTACAAGTTTTTATTATTTAATTGCAGCTGTTGACACATTTTAACTTTTATGTAAATGTGACAAGATTTTCATGATAGTATTTGAACAAATATTTTTAAAATGTCATTTTTGTCAATTGGAGACCATGTCATGAGCACACTTAAATCATAATCGAGATAGGTATAAAATGCCTTCCATTTTGCTATGTGAAATTTTATCTTGCTTTTTCCTCAGAAACCTCTATGTTTGTTTGTTCATTTACTCATTCCATTTGTTTAGGCAGCCGTCTCAATTCAGTAAGTCTGGACAACAAATAGTCATAAAAACAATTTAAACAGTTAAAACACAATACAAAAACCAAATTAAATACAAATAGCAACCAACAGATATTATTATCCATTGGTATTAACATAAGCAGGAACAAGGCCCTTGACATACTCAGGACCCCAACACAGGTCTTCAAAGCCTTCCAGCAGGGCTATCCTAATCTTTGGAGGAAGAATGTTACAAATTGTATTAAAGTGTTAGGATTAAAATTAAACATAAATACCGGTAGTTAACTTATGGTGAGATGCTAGATTTTACTGAAGAAGAATGCAAGAGAAGATTTGACATTAGAAGGATATACTTGTTAATGGTTTTCCTACATACAATTACTAGAAGGATTTAAAGTAAATAAAATAACTTTTGGTTTTGAATATTGTAAAACTTGAGTTTGAAACAGAACTGTGTACAAATAATGAACATGTTATTTCTAAAATGTATAACGTTCACGTTCGCTGAAATTTGAAACAGAAGAACAAGTGAAAGTATGATAAAATGGACTATTTTTTTTGGTTACAACATATAAATAGAACAATGAGAGAATATATGGCTGAAATGGCTGAAATGTACATTATTACCCTAAAGAGAATTTTTATAAAAAGATGTTAATATATGTCACCGGAAAAATATATATGCAAAAGCTACATTGAATTTGTACAGGAAATGTGGGGACATTTTACCATGCTATAAAAAAGGTGAAAAATGGATTCAGTTACATACATTCATTTAGGAGATTTTCAGTATTAATATTTATTTATTTATTTTATTTATTTGATTTGCCAATTGTTTACAAGATAATAAGTATAAATGTATACATAGTTGTGAATACATGAAATGGTTACATATAAGAAAAATAAAAGAATAGGAGAAACAATAGGACAGGGACGGTAGGCACGTTGGTGCGCTTACTTGTGAGACATTGAAAAAAATTGGAAAAAAGTTACAGAACTTTATTTTTATATGTGACAACTGCAATTAGACTATTACATTATATGGAATGACTTGACACTACCCACAATGGAGGAATGGATGGTGAAGATGATGGAACTTGCTGAGATGGCTAAATTGACAGCTTTGATCAGTGAAAAGACATCAATTTTATTAAATTTATTGCCATTTGGAAATTTCTTTTTGACTTTTTGTGTGAAACAGAAAAAAATGAATTTGAATATTTTTGTTAACTAGAAAGAATAGAAAACATGAAAGTAATGTTGTAACCATTAATTTACATGTATACTTCAGAAATTATTTTTTAATCTTTTTTCTGCCCCCTTGGGACTTATTTCTTTATTCTAAATATTAGCTTGTAGGAATTTAGCACCCACACCTCTCCTAGAAAATTGAAATATCCTAGGAAATATTAAAAAGGCAAATTATTTCCTCTAAAAAGAGTAGAAACTCAGAAGCAAAAAACTCACCTCAGAAGCAGAAACTCACGCCCACCTTTGTTAATGGGTGGGCCATTAAGGCCTGGGCCAGAATACTTTACATAACAAAGATCTCCAGGTAAAGCTATAGCAATTGCCAAAAGCCCTTTTCAGTGCATCATCATCCAGCAAGGCTCAACCAAGCCTGGAACTCAGGATAGCCTACAGAGTTGCCCCTGCATGGCCTCATGGGAGTCTGACAACCAATTAGAAACAAGCTTCAATTCAAATCCCAACAAAGGTTATAAAACCCAGGCACTCTCAGCACCTCACCTCTTTCTTGATCTCTTCCTTCACCTTCCTTTTCACTCTGGAGCTCCAGGCCATGTGGTCCTGTCCACCATTAAACCTTCCAAACAGCCTCCATGTTTCCAGTGTCTTTTTCCCCACTTGGAACTGAACCCAGAAGGATATTTCTTCCAACAAGCTTTTGTTAGTTTTTATGTTTCATGTTTAAAGCTCCATTAAAAAAAATAAATGTCCAAAATGACAGATTTAGTCTTCTTCTATCCAGCCTCTGACATGTCAACAACAGAATTAAATCTGTTTCTTTCCAACGGGTTCAAAGCTTGATTAGCAAGGTTTTAAAGAATGTGAAATTCAGCGGAGCCTGGAATTGGGTTGTATTGAAGAGGAAAGTATTACACAGAAAAATCATAAAATTACACTGGTTGAAATTCACTTATCTCAAAAGTGTAGGAATACTGTCTGTAATGCATTAAAAGCAAATTTAGTTTGCCTTTTGTTTTAGATCTCACCTTTTTCCTCTTTGGCTCCTGTTTTTGAGTGTTCAAAGGGCAGAGTGATTTCAGATTTTTGTTAACAGGAGGCAACGTTAACTTTTTATCGTGACTATGTCTCCTCCCTTTGCAATCATGTTTTTTAATTGTTCAGGTTTCATGTGCTATTCGTCCAGAGGTCAAATTCTGAATGCTTGTAGGGAAAGAGAAGCAAGAGGCAGAAGTGAAGCAGGGCAGAGGCATACAAACCATTTAAACATATTTTATAGATATATTGGCTAAAGAGATCATCTTTGCTATCAAAATTGTTTGTAAACTGTTTTTTTGCCAAGAATTTTTGCAATCAACGTTTACTTTTACAGCTAAAAGTGCTTACTCGGTGAACCTCACAAGCCAATGGCTGACCAATTTCTAAAAGACCTTGAAGATTCAGGTTTGAGGGAACCCTCTGAAATGAGACCTTTGGTGATCAAATGGATTGAAGAGCGGTTTCCAAGAGTCGAGTCAATACCAACACAAACCCTCCAGCAGTGGATGGAAGATAAACCAGGAGAGCTTCTCCTTCTTGTAAGTTGCTTTCTCCTTTGCTGAATCATTGTCTTTTCTATTGGATATGCAGTAAGTTTTCCAATATGTTAAGGTTAAGGTTATATCAATTGATAGGATAGGCCTGTAAAGCCACCATGTCACATGAAATAACTATGCTGGCAAATCTTCAGGGTTTTCTTAGTTCTTTCTTCAGATTGATTCATATCATTTCTGTAACCTACCAGCATTCAAGCTTCCTGGTTTTATTTTCTGAGGTTTGGTAATACAGTATAAAAATTGTCAGGAGAATGGACCTTTGAGTAACTGGCCATAGAGATAGCAATAGCACTTAGACTTATATACTACACCATAGTGCTTCATAGCACTTTCTGGACAGTTTACAATGTCAGCATATTGCCCCCAACAAACTGGGTATTCATTTAACTGACCTCGAAAGGATGGAAGGGTGAGTCAACCTTGATCCAGTCAGAATTGAACTCTAAGCTGTGGGCAGAGTCAGCCTGCAGTACTGGATTCTAACCACCGCACCACCAGATACATGAGAGGTTTCAATCTTATTCTTGCAGAGGAAGGAAGACTTCCTTTCAGGTGGCAATCTAACCAAAGAATCCAACTGACAGCTTTAGGACCTCCAAACTATCTTATTTTTAATGCCTGGTCATCTACTGATTAAACAATTGAAGCAATGCTTAAGTAAACATTAATAATATGGAAGAACATAATTTCAGAGTTGCCCAAATCTCTAAAAGAAAATGCAATGCTCCAGACAAATCACAAGATGGCAGTGGTTTTGTTATTATTCCCCAAGTCACTATTAAGAGTCTGGAGAAGGTTCAGATTAGATTTCTAAAGAAACATTCTTTATCTTTATCCACATACCCTGAAAAACAATTGAACAGTGAAAATAACTTGTACAGGAAAATAAAGGGAGTAATACTTAGCACACCACAGAAAATAGAAATAAAAAACTTAATACAAATGGCTGGATCATACAAGTACATTTTACCTATTTCTACATTCCTGAAGTGAATAACTCCTGGTTCAGTTTTCTGGGCTTCCAAATTCCAAATGCTTATCAGTGTGTGCAGGGGGAAATGATTGCCTCCTCCTTTTCCATCTTTTTTCCACAGACTTTTCTTTCTTTTTTTTTAAATGTTCTCTATCTTCAGCAGTGGAAGGGTCTGGGATAACCTGTATGTGACATAGTGCAAATCTTTTGCACATGGGGATGTGAGTCGTGAATCTGAGTCTGCAATTGTTCATGCAGGCTAAATTCACGAGAGCATCCTTGATAAAAGTGCCATCATCCTAAAATGTATTATAAAAACAGCTGAGAGGAGGTGGCGTGAGGTCCCTACTAGTTCCTCTGAATTACTCTGTGATTAGTGGTGCAATGGTAGTGTACAGAAACTGCATCTCACTAACTGGAAATTCCATTGAACAGTCTGCTGATTTCTCTAATTAACTGGATGGCAGGAACATTAACACCATTAATGTATTCTCCATC